ATCCTTAATCCCATTGGGTTTCTTTTGAACTTGGTTATTTCTTAGTCTTCTGGTACATCTGTCTGCTGTAACTATGAATCGTTTGCCAACACCACATTTTCATCATATTCCCTGAATATCTTTTTCCTCCCACAGTTTGTATTAGAGTACTTGAAGAGGTACAGGGAAACTGTCTGGGACTGGTCATTCTTCAACTTTGTGATACCGTGTCATTCTTTACTTCATTTCTTCCTTTTCTTCTTATCTTCTCCTATTTTCAGTGTTCTCTTCCCTTTTTTATTTGTTCAACTTTCTTGTGCAATTGGTCATTATTCCCTCAACAAGTAAAAAATTGGAATGAGACTATCTGAGATGATATAGATAATACGGTTCTATGTGTTAAATTCACCAAATACATTCATTTAAAACATCTACTTTCTATCTGTCTGAAATGATGCATTTATCTATTGCTGTATAATGAACAAGATTTCTTTCTTCCCTGATTTTCCTGGTAAGATCTTATAAAAGTAGCAGTTGTTTATAATCTCTTGTAAAATTCTTCTATGCAAATAGCCATCATTTTTTTTCTTTCTGGTAGCTCCTGTTTTCACTTGAACATGTATATTGTACATGTATAATTAGAGGAGAACCTTGGGGAAAAAATGCAAGTATTATATTTTTGAGATTACATTATCTTTGTGATGCAGGAGTTTGCTCACTGGTGTCATTTTCAGCTGGCTTTTCACACTAAGTATCTTCAAAGGTAATTGTAAACACAGTCCAGTGCTCCAGTCTGTAGAGATTAGCCCAGTTGATAAATAGTCTTTTTGTTATTGAAAGTAGGCATATGGCTATGCACTGCAAGTGAATTCTTTTACTCTACGTACTTTTTTGTTGGTGGAGTAGGTGTAGATAACGTGGAAAAATAAAACTGTTGGTTTCTGAATTCATGTTTGCCTCTCATGGTAACACAGCAATTCAGCAAATACAGCATCTGGAAGAAGTGATGGTCAGTGATATCAAAGCAAGTGGTTGCGACCTGCTGTATTGCATGCTGTGCTGTATGTTGTGTTGCAGGGAGAGATGCATGGATTTAGCTTTCAGGGCTAGCCTTTCATCCCTCCCTCTCTACAGGTTGCTAAAAGAAGTTTAGTTGTGATCTGTGTGTGCTCAGTCCTACTGTTAATCCATGTTTCAATAGTGGAGTACTTAGGTATTTTTCCTGCTTCATTTGATTGCCAGTCTGTCCATTTGGGAATTTATTTGTTATTCGTACATGAAATAAAATACCTATTTCAATAACAGTCTTGATGGTCTTAAAGGATGTTGCGATTCATGGATATAGTTTATATGAATTGCAGATATATGTTTATATTAATAAGATAAATTACTGCTGAGGAACATGCAAAGAAGCTGCTAACATCATATTACATCATATTCTATCAAATTTTGTCATATAACTCTCTTTATTACCTACACATGTGAAGGACTGACCAAACCGTGAATAGAGAATGAATATAAAAACTTGAGTACCAGCCAAAACATGAGGTTCCCAGAGTGACTCTTTCCTCCCCCACCACCATAAGGTAGACTACAGTAGTGTTCCCCAAAAGAGTATTTCTTCAGGAGTTGACTACTGCATTGAAGAGAGGAGAGTAGGAAACTGAGGGATGTGTGGGCTTCTGCTGTTCCATTGAGGGGATGCCTTTACACAGTATATATATGCCCTCGAGTTGCCTCTTCCTTTGTGAATACAAACTGCTTTGACTGTGAAACAGAGGCTGAGTGGTGTCCTCCTTACTGTAGATATGATACTTCTTAATACTTCTCTGTCATTTCAGTCTCCCTCGTACTGCTGCTTATTTATTTAAATAGTTTCCTATTCTCATGCCCAAAGACATTGTCCCTTCCATTTCCACCTTCTAACATGCAAAAGTTTAAAAGCTCTCCATAGACTTGCTTTTTATTAAATTCCAGCATGAAGTACTAGTTCCAGTGCCAACTGATCTTCTACTCACATACCTTCAACTAACCAACAGTCATGAAAAAAAGAATCACTTAAAAACAATTCAGGTTCTGTGCATTCAGAGAATCTATTTTCACTGGTTTAATTGATTTTTATTTTGCTTTTTTATTCTCTATTACTCATATAGTTCATTGTGCTAAAAACTATGCTGAATTTTTAACTGGTGAAGAGCAGTAGGAAGCCATTGCAGTTATATGCTGAGGTCAAAAGTAAGAGTGGTCAGAAATTGAGACTAGCAGTAAAATTTTGAAAAAAAACCCACAGAAATGTCATGGGTTTTAGGTGGCCTTCATGCTGGTTTCCTTAGGTTTTTTCACTTATTCATATGCCGTGAAAAGATACCACAGCGTATTTTAGTAAGCTTGTATTACATAGAGAAGATTATAAGTGCGTTATTTTTGTGACTAAATTTGTCAACAGACTTTGTGGGAAGTAAAAATTGTTCCCATTACTGCGAGGGATAGTGTTACTTGAGGTATTTTTTGATAATCTAGGACTTGGTATTTTGAAAGATCAACAATGTTAGATGGTTTGGGATAGTAATCCTGAAAGAACAGCATGCATTACTTATGTTCCACTGTTTTAAATAGTGACAGTGTCAGGAAGGATTTCTTTAAATGAATGAAGTTTATACAGGACATGCCATCTATAGTATGACTGAATAAACATTGATTCTAACCTTTATTCATGAAAGGCAGTAATCTCAGGCTAATGCCGCACTTAACTCTGTACTTTCAAAATGATTTGCCTGATCTGATAAATTATGCAGTCTTTTATTTTGACCTTGTAACCTTGTAGAGTTTACTCAAACTGACTCCATAGTATTTGCCACATTAGCAGTATAATGGCTGTAACCAGTTCTTGTACTACAGTTCATTCTGCAGCAAAAGGTAAACACTGGGCCATGAAAATTTATTGATTCAATTACATGATATACACATAGTACCATTTGAAAAGTGTTTTGGGGATTAAGTCATTACATATCTTCTGTTTGGTCAAAAATCTGAAATATATAAACAAGGAAGCAAGTGAGTATTGAGAAATATAAACTCTTGTTTTTACTGTATGGTAGAATGTGCTGTGAGACATCAATCTAAAAGTTGTTTAGGTCAAAGAACAAGCCAGACATTGAACTGTCATGCCTTTCTCCCTGACCAAGGTAACTTTTGCTCTCAGTAGCTCCTGCAAGTACGTTATAATTTACTATGTAAATTGTTTTTTGTCTTCAGAGTGTGTTATTTTTGTGTGAGAGTCTAGGCTTTGGAGTTTTTCTGTTTGAACAGAACTGATGACAGTAGAAGTTCTTCTTCCTTAAACAGTAGAAGGCAAGGTTTCGAAAAGAAGAAAAAAAAGTAGAATAGGGTTAAGCATTACCTGACGTCATTCATTTGTTTCATACTGTGTGGCCAATTTTGATTCAGATAACTATGCTTTTAAATCTAACATAATATGTTTTTATCTTGCGTTGGAATATCTGATGCCTTTATCAGTTCAAACTGATGAGCAGGGTTATTTTGAAACAATTTAAAATCGAAGTGCAAAAATAGTTATCTTTGGTTTGTCTCTTCTTATACTGACTTTGAGTTTATAATATAGGCAAGGCAAATTCTGCACAACTAAGTAAATTACACAATGGCACAGTAGTATTAAATATATGTATAATTATGAGGCCTTTAATATATTAGAAAATTATCTGAAAGAGAGGCTGCTAAAGATTTAGGATGCAGGTGAAAAGGAACATATGAAGAAATTGTTAACAAAAGAAGAAAGCATAGCTCGGTAGTAAAACTGATTATTTTCCTTATTTCTGCTTCTTTTGTCTTTTGCGCCCCATCTTTTATTTTGGTTTGGGTTTTTTCAGGTGCATGTATTAAAAAATTATTAATATCTCCATCTTTGAGGGGGTATTTGCGTTTGCTCCAGCTAATGCAAACAGGACAGTTGCTGGGAATTGCATTGCTTGAGAAATTGAAGGAAAATACCCAATTTTTGTCAGTGCTTTATGCAGACATAATTTTGGAGATATGCTTACTCTCACGCATGCAGAACATTGTTGGGAGAGAGAAGACAAAAAAGAAGGTTGTTTTCTTTGCAGAAGTTGAGTTAAAATATATTTAGAATACACAGTGCAGTCCTCACTTATTTGGTCTGTAATTCGGCCCTGCTGATTGATTAGCTTATGTCGTGCACTGAAGAGGGTTTTCTGTTTTCTTTCCTGGGTTTGGTCTTTGGGTGCTGTTGGTCAGGGTAAATGATGTTGCTGCTGGTTCAACTGCAGCTCTGGCAGAATGGCTAAAGTCGCTTTGTGGAGAAGTGTGATAGCTGTGACTGATTAGAACGCTAATATTTCAGAGGTAATTAGGAAATTGGAGAGGGGAAAATGTGTGGTACGTGGAACTCCTGGTGTCTGGTTAGCACACATGTCAGCTTCAAATGACCCAGTAAAAGACAAACAGAAAACTGGTCAATGACAACCTAAATTATGACACTTCCACGCTACAATGCCTCTACTACCCAACTCCAAAGTACAATTTTAGATTTTGGAAAGAAATGGCAAGAAAAGCAGGAAGAGGAAATGTATAAAGGCATTGCCTTCTTGGTGGGAAGGGACGTGAAGATGGCCAGAAGGATTCTTGACCAGGAGGAGAATGGGGGATGTGAAATGGGGGTGAAAATAACAGAGAACTCTGGAAACAGAGAGCTGCAGCTGATGAAAGCAATGGCTTCAGGGAAAGGTGAGGTGAAGGATACTTATATCTCATAAATACTTACAGAACTGCCTGGGAACTGAGGGAAGAGGAGAAAGAAAAACTATCTACATTTGGGGTTATAATATTTTAATACTAAAATTGTTCTAGTTATGCAGGTATAAACTGTATATTAGCCTGAAGATGCAGCTGTAAGCGTCTGTGAGATAAAGTTACAGAGTAAGCTGTCATACAAACTTTTTTTGTATTGCTTTTGCTGAACTGCATCCTGGCTGTGTATTTATGTTGGTGATACTATTGGGAAGTCTGTTAAGACAGAATTTCTTGGTGATTCTCAGGTGGGTTTGATAAGGGAGCTGGCCTGTTAAAGTACACAGGAGAAGGGCCTCAGCAGTTCAACTGCAGTTCTGAAGTTCTGAGTATCACGCAGAGATGTCTGCCCTGGCTTGACCCTTCTGCAGAAAATTGCTGTACAAAATTGTTTTAAAAAATGCAGCATACAAGGATCAGGGTGGCTGCAGGAAACTGCTCCCTTAAACAGGCGGGAAGTGTTCTATGATAAACTCCATCCAACCAGAAGCTTATCTTCTTTCATAAAGCTGATTTTTTTGGCGAGGATTTCTACAAAATCTAGACTGCCCGTGATTTTCTTGGTGATAGCGAATTTCTATTACTTTCTACCTTTTCTGTTTTCTGCCCTTCTTTTCTGTCTCTCCAAAGGGGGGAGGACAGGTAGACAGATGAATCTACTCCCCATCCCAATTTCCCATGTTAATAGAGTTCTTGAAGTTTTGCAAAGACAAGAGCTCAAAAGTTTAGTGACGGTCAGAACTTAAATTACTTATTCAACCGTATTTTGGCCCTGTGTGTATTATGAAGCAGTTTTTAATTGGACAATTTCATACTGTTGCTCTCAAGGGACCACTGTAACATTTAGTGCACAGAATGTCAACTGCAAAGTAGCTATTCAAATGTTGTTTGCGCTTGGATTTCAGTCAGTAGCCCAGCTCTTGCTTGCTGAGATAAAATTTTCTTCTTCACTTAAAGTTTTATTTTGTTTCTAAGACTGTGAAGTAGAGTTATACTCTATACTGAATATAGAAGCCAGTGGGCTTTTCTAGAGTGCTTCTGTTATAGCAGCTGACTTCACAAATCTTCAGAGCAATTTTTTACTGTGACTCATTCCCATTTTAGAGATGGCAAAGTGAGGAACAGAAGAGATTAAAGTCCTAAGTGTCCTCTGCCAGGTTTTCAAGTTATCTGGCCACAGTACATTGTTTTTAAAAGAATAAAGCCTCTATTGACTTCTGGTGTTGCTCAGTTAAGAACTGTTACGTAGCAGTTCTTCGGTTTGGAGTCCAAGATTTCATACTTGGTACTGAGAAGATGAGAAATACGGTATCAGTGACCATCTGTGAAAAGTCAGATGAGATTCCCTATGTCATTTGGGTTCTGTACTATCTCATTTGCTCATCTCTGAAGACTGCAGGGTCATCTTTTCCAGCCATCTTCTCTCTCATGTGCCTTCAGATGTCTGCAATAAAAAGGGATTGTCCACCCAAGTAGCAAAGAGAATAGTCCATTGCAGTGAAAGACTGTGGAGATTTAAGGACAAGTGTACTTGTACTGGAGAAGCGATATCAGAGTGTGAAATAAATTGGGGATGTAACTAAATCCTCTCTTGTCATTGTGTAAAGCATGATCAGTATCTAAAGCTGTGACGTGATCCAGTAGATCAGCAGAAGCTGCTGAATTTTTTTGTTACTCTTAAGACTGGATGAAGGAACTGGTAGACAGGAGGTCTGAGAGTAAGAACGATATTGAGAACTAAGGGCTGGTAAACTGTATACTTCCTGACACAAGAATAATATGCAGTCAATTTAACTGAATTTTTCACTTTATTGCTTGCTCATACCAAAGATTTGGTGTTTTGGAATAGGTGTTTCTTTGATGGCTATTTGACATTTCTGTGTGTGTATATAAAATTAATGATTATATATATTTTTGTATAAATATATTAATTTAGATATTTTGATAAGGGTCCTTAAATACTTAAGAGCTGTGGAAGTCTCAAAATTCAAACCACGTTTCATGCTCTATTTGTTCTTCATCAGTGCAGAAAAGAGAAGTCTGGAACGACGCAGTCTGAGCATTGCTTGCTTGGCTAGATCTTTCCTAGAGTTTGTCATTGATTCCATATGTGTACCTACTGTCTAGCCTCCACGGTGAATGGTACCTTTTATCTTTGGGAAATCTTTAAGCAATTTAGCTTTGCTTAGCTTATTGTTCAGTAACAAGGAAATAACATAAGGGAAGTGATTTAAAATACTGTTTTACATTAAAAAAATGAAACTGCTTATTCATTCATTATATAAAGGTAGCTTTATGTATTACTATTAATTCAACATCATTGTCTTTGATTGACATAAATGGTTATTATCAGCATAGTTTAGTCTTGAGATAAATGATCTTTCTTTCAAGAAACAAAATACTAATTTTCTTGTAAAGAAATAGGGGGGATAAACTATTTTTGTTAACCTCTAGTATGTTTAGAGCACATAAGTAACAGGTTAAGGGGGAGGAGTAGTCAAAGATATCCCAAGTACTTCATATCATTTTCTTGCAACCTTAGCACTTCACCATGAACATTATAAATGACTGATTCTCCTTTAGGTACTGACTTGCTTTAGAATGATGTATGAAATAATATGTGTTTTGCATGTCCTGTTTGTAATGATAAAGGTCATATAGTATCATTTACATAATCTCTAGCCAGAAATGAACTCCAGCAATATCTTCTGTATAACATATACATTATCTGAGGTTTAAAACTCTCATTATTCATGAAAGTTAATTTTACAGTGGGTGTGAATGATCTATCTTATGGCTGCTTTTTTGATCATTCTATAAAATAATATGGAGCAAAGCCTGCACAAATAGCAGGAAAACCAGTAAAGAGTGATGCATTTGCTTGACTCTGTGTATACCCGATTGGATCTTGATTGATGGCAATCATTTGTCTTTGTCAAAAAAAGGAGAAAAATTCAGACATTGAAATAAGAGTGCTATCAAACTTTCTACAATGGCAGAAAGATTCTATTAATGCAGCCTGAGAGTATTAACTGTCTCTGCTAGAAAATGATAAAGAATGTTAATTTTTTTTCTTGAGCATGTTTAAGTGTAAACTGCATTATTTTGTCTATGTAGGAAGACTAAAAGGGGCATGCTACAGATTTATGGCATGCTGGAATTGGAATAAAAAAAAAGTGAATTACACAAAAAAAAAAGAAACAAAAAGCCAAATACAAGAGCTTAATCCTTCTGATTATGATTTTGCAACAAAACAATAAAAGTTTAAGTAGCATAGTGTCGTAAAATCCTTAATGCTGCATTCCAATTGATATTGAAGCTTTGAAGACTAACTTCAAAGGAGGGTGAACCAGAGCAAAAAATAGATATAAAATAAACAAAAAAAAAAATGACAAGCTTGGTTTTAGAAGTCCTTTTGTATGTCAGATCTAGGAATATTGACCCGTTACTTGAATGGGCTTTAAGGCAACTTCCTTATTAATGATACTTAGAAACACAAAGCATATGCTTGTGGGTAATAGTGTATTTAAGAGGGAAAAATGCTATTTCACAGTACAGTAATGCCAGCAATGCAACAATACTTTTAAAATAAAGAAATATATAATTTTATATGTTAAAATAAAAAAATCAACCAAACAAAACCACCCACCAAAACCCAAAAGCGTTGATCACTGGATCTATCATGCCAGTTTTGTATCTCTGGATTTTATTATACATCTCTTATGGTCTCTGGTTCTAAATAGCAGTGTTAAAGCTTGATTACTGAAACTATTTTCTAAATTACGAACATGGCAAATAGCCTCTATTGAGTACTCTCTCTATCCTAGTAAGGCAAATATTGTTTTGTTCCTAAACTTATAAGACTAAGAAAATTGTAGCATTCAACTTTGCTGTTTACTAGTCCTTGATGCACCCTTAAAAATAGATGTTTGAGAGGTTGTCATTTTAAGGACAACTGAAAGAATGGCCTTATCAAAACTGGGAACCAGGAACTGCAGTTGTAAGACCTGCACTAATGTGCTTTGTGGCCCTCATGAAGTCATTTTAAAGTTTTTTTGGGTTTTTTGTTTGTTTTTTTTAATTTTTTTTTTTTACTGTTTCTGCATTGTGTTCCTAAAAACATATTCTAGCTTTGCCTTACAGCAGTGTGAGTCTGGGTCTGGCAGCAGGCTCCTGATTCAAACATTGAAAGGCAGCATAAGCACAGTGTTATCTGTCCTTGCTTAAAGAACCTTGTATGTCCTTAAAGAGTTCACAGTTTTGGATGGATTTGTTTGGTAACTTCCATGAAGCTGTTGCTGCTGCTGAAGATGCTAAGATGTGATTTTAGCTGGCGGGGTGGTAGTGTATTTATTTTAATTTTTTTTTTTTTTTAACGGTTGGTTAGGTGAGACATGACTTGCATGATTGAGATTTTTGCTGTTTTAAGGACCAGCTGCAAGGTTACTTTGTGACAGGGAAATTTTGAAAGTGGAAACAGTATGTGTTAAATACAAACACTACTTCACTCCCTCTCTTCAGAAAAATAACCAATAAGCAGCAGATTAATATTGCAGGACAGTATTAAGATTGAGGTCCAGTTTTCAAGGAGCAATAGAATCAGGATCATCTGTATTTTTTTTCCCTCCTCTCCCCCCACCCCACCTTCTTTTTGGTTTTGCCTGCCTGCATTTTCTGTCTCTGTTAATTCTTAATCAGATTTCTTTTTTGATTTTTTTTTTTTTTTATTGCTTTCCCAGGCTTTTGTCCTAGCCAGACCTTAGTTTGTGCCACCCCTTCTCTACTCTGCCTCTTGTCCTACTGATTCCCAACTCTGTCCTCTTTTCTCTACTTGATCACCAGCAGATCGTATA